AAGTGTGGGAAAGGATTGTTAAGTGGGGAAACACATAAATCTTTTATTTATTATTTCTTTTCACTTCAAACCTTTTCCTTTCATATGTTCCTAATGCCAATCACCATTTCCATGTCTAGCAGCGCACAAATGATCTTTTTCATAGGAATACAAATAATAATGGCAAAGAGAGCCATCATAGTCTATTATCTACAGAGGGTCTCCACTATGGCTGACAATTCAATTCACACTGAAGCATAAATGTTTAGTCCAGATCTGTCAATCGTGGATCGCGATGGACCTTTATTTTGCTCTACGCTAAGCATAACACTATTGTATGGTCTAGAAGATTCGATATTGATCTCGTGGACACCATGTGAGGACTTTGAACCCTGTCCTTTCCGGGCCACCCATACCTATCCACTGTTATTGGCTGTTTACTTCATTAGCTTTGGTTTTTTTTTTCGGTCTTACTCATTCTTCCATTTTTACATTCCATTAGAGACTGTTTTCGATTAGCAAGGTAAAGCTCTAGGATAGGAAGTCCCATAGCACGTCTATTCGTCGCTCGTTTACTCTTTTTACCTTCTACTCTTTCTTCGAAAGATTAGTCTATCGAACTGCTTTTACTCCACACTTCCATACTTTTTTCTTTTGCTCGCATAGCAAGGATGAGCCAATACTTAGACGAGGATATCGAACAAAGATTAGCAAAAATCTGTTGCAACCCTGAGAAAAAAATCAAGTCTCTGCACTGGCTGACAGGTAAGAATACTTTTCGTCATTTTGATTAACTGAGAAAGGCTTACATAGCAGTGAGTTCTGGAAACGTTGTTTAAGAAGCCACTGATTTCTAGTTGGCTCTCCCTCCTTAAGTGATATATTGGAGAAGCAAATGATGTCAGAGGTCTTAAGGTCTTATTACTCCCAAATGATCTTAAAAGCCAGTGTCTCAAGGCATCAGGCAGAAGCTTCCTATCGTCTTTTTTTCCGAAGTGGAAGACCTGAAAACGCGCGTTCGTTTAGTACTTCTTTGCGAATAAGGCGAGGAATTTTTTATTAAAAGTGTTGGTGCTTGGAGTATATCGTGAATGTGAATTCTTTTTTCTAAGATCTAATTATAATTTTGCAATAGCTGAAAAGAAATCGTCTCATTTGTTTCAGTGAAGATAAAATAAAGGAAGATAAATTAAAACTTTTCAAAAATTCTTAAGTTCCATTGAGGTTTATTTTGTCGAACAGACTTTCTCTTGCCCGTGCTGCCGTTACCAATACAGTATAACGGGTTCAGTGTTAGTAATTAATGTGAAGATTAGATTGAACCTTCCACAGCATGGAGGAATGGGGATGGAAGTGGATGAAGAATGGTAAAATTGATGGAGATGGAACATGAAGATGGTTGGATGTGTGGAGATGACAATTTACGGAACTGGTTGGAGATGGATATCTATGGAGATGGTTGAATGGCTGGAGATGAGCGAACGAGGGACGCTTGCTAAGGATCTCTATAGGTAAATAATTTTTTAGTTTTGACGTTGACTATCTTTAAAACTGCAATTAAATTAGCAGAACAGGAATCTTCAGGCTTGTACCTAAATGATCTACAGCTTTCGTTTCTGCCGCATTTTTTATTGCACTTCATTTCCATATTGGCTGTGAACTGTTCGCAATAATTCCTCAAACTAAGAGATGTCGAAGTGGCAATTTCTTAAATACATCAATATATTTTGAAGAATAAATCTATGCCATCTGTATGTGTGAATTGGCAAAAACATTTATGATCCGCCATTTATTACTTTAAAAAATGTTTTCTTGGCAATTTTTATCTCTGGCCATAAACCAAAGAAAGGATTTTTTTATTGCTGTCTTAGTTCAAGTAAATTTAGCCATGAGGTAAAACCAAAGAAGGTTTCTACATAAAGCCATTTAGCCAATAAGGGCGACTAAATCAACGTTTGGACTCGCATTCATTGTTAGACATCTCTTATGTGTCAAGCGATTTCCGTGACGCTTATAATTT